CTCATGATTTCATGCTATAAAACTTCTGCAAAGCAGGGTCCATGACAACCCACTTTTGGGTCCCTTCCTAGCTCTCAGAAGCTATATCTCTCAAGAAATATTTCCTACTCTTAGCCTCCATTGTTCCTTAAAATTCATTCTTCAATTTTGGGAAACACAAATTTGGCACATCTGACATCTAACAAGTTGATTGGTGAATTGAGATCATTAACGCTGATGGTTGTAACTGATATGTATTGACTTATCCTTGTGATATTATTTTCCTGTTGTTGGCTTTCTTTTTTTTCCACCTCTGTTTAATTGGTTGCCTTGCCTTGTGGATTCATTCTGTTAGGGTTCATGAAGTTGTAATCCTTATCGTCTCTTTCTAGAATATCGTTCAGAACATTTTGGAGTGCTGCTTTGGTGTTCATGAATTTCCTCAGTTGTTCTTCATGGAAGTACCTAATTTCTCCATCAATTTTGAAAGATAGTTTTGTGGGGTACATCAATATGGGCTGGAGTTTTTTTTTTCTTTTAGGGCTTGAAATACTTCACTCTAAGTTATCCTTGACTAGAAGATTTGTGTTGAGAAGTCAACTGTAGTTCTGATGGGCTTTCCTTTACAGGTGATTTGTTTCTTTTCCCTAACAGCTTTTAAGATTCTGTTCTTGTGTTGAATTTCTGGCATCTTAACTATTATATGATTTGCTGTAGTTTTTTTGGACCATGGCTAATTGGAATTCTATATGCCTCACTTAATTTTATATCAAGTTTTCTACTATGATGTCTGTGAAGATATTTTTTGTCATTTGTACTACTTCCTGTTTTTTCATTGATTCCAATCAATCTTACGTTATTCTTCTTTACATCATCTAGTAGTTGCTGGATTGATTCTCATGATCCCTTGTTATTTTTAAGAAATTTTTCTTTTCATCATTGCTGACCACAATCCTGTCTTCTATGTCCGAGATTCTGTCCTCAAATTGATCTCTATTCTGCTATGAATACTTTCAATGGAATTTTTAATCTCCTGAATATCTTCTTGAATGTGTTTTATGGATTCCACTTCTTTCCTATGTTGAGCATTCATGATTTCCATCATTTTCCTAAGATCCTCTATTTTTAAAAAAATCTGTATCTGCTCTAGTCTTTCATTTTGGTCACCATCTCTGTAGTTGTCTGACAAATTATTTCTGATTTGATTTTTTTCTACAGCTTCATTCTTTTGCTGTGTTGCTACTACTTCAGAGAGTTTAGGTGGGTGGCTTTCAGATTGTCCCACCTCATTACCCTCTGGGTTTGGCTTTGGTGAACCGGATGTCTGGGGTTGCATCTTACTTAAGTGTCTTCTCATTTTCTTTTCTTTTTTAGTTTAATTTCTGTGTTGATGCTTGTAAACTGCCTATGGTGTGTAGCTTTATTGCCAGTAGTTAGAACCCTTAGGGAATGACTACTTCTCAGAGGTGTCAGGAGTAGGTACCTTTTGGGTTTGAGGGTTTTGTTGCAATATACTATCACTTCAGTTTATTGGGGATGAGACATGGCTGCCTATTTGGCCCAGCCAAATTCTTTGATACTGGTCTATAGTATTTTTTATGACCCTTAGGCAATCTCAGTCTTGGTATACCAGGAAGAACAGTTGATTAAAACAATTATGTCACCTTGCCTAAAGTGATACAATCAGTGAAAACAATAGCATCAAACACAGCCTAGAAAATGACAAACTGTGGCAAGTAGTAATTTGCCACCTTTAACTGTATGAACTGTATTTGTGGTTATATAACAAAATCTAGGTTTTTCTTTTTTGTTTGTTTTGTTTTTGTTTTGTTTCTGTTTTTTCTGGTACCAGGAATCTAACTCAGGACCTTGCACTTGCAAGGCAGGCACTGTGCCACTGAGCTATATTCCCAGCCAATAACATGATCTAAAAAAAATCAGAAAATTGTATATAGTAAATAAGCCCTCAATATGGTGATTTTGCCCTCATGGAAGAAAGCTTAAAAGGGACTAGGGTAAAAAAAAATAGAGAAATAGAAGAGGCAAGGATTAGATGCAAGGCTGGAGGACAAAAGAGGATCATGCAAGCTTTGTGAAACTGGTGTAAAAGACAGGAGGGAAAGAGAAAAGGAAGAAAAAAAATGAAAAACAGAACAGAGCAACAACCACAGAAAAGCTAGAAACACATTCACACTCATAAAAACAAGACCAAACAATGAAGATTTAACAAACAAACAAAAAACAAGAGAGATAGGAAGAAATTCACTTCGAGGTTTGGCTCTGCTACTGCTGGTAGGCAATGTGTGGAGGTAGAGTCCAGATCCATGTTGATGTATCCCAGCAAGCCAGCAGAAGCTTAATGGTGAGGTAATGGCTAATCTCAGTAGCCTGAATCTTTATTTCCCCTGAAGTTCAGGTGGGTTTCTGGCTGTGAGGCTGGTACCAGACCTGTTCAGTGTGCAGCAGTCCGCACACCTTCTACAGGCTTGAACTCAGCTGGGAGCTGCTAGATGGAGCCAGCAGTTGTTCTGAGTTCTGAGCTCAGTTGGCTCCTGCCAAGTAGCTCCCTGCCAATTGCCCTCTCCTGAAGAACAGCCAAATCCGGCCCACTCACCAGCCAGTGCAGTTTACGTCTTCCACCCCTCCATTGCACTGCTGCATCTCTTTGTGGAGGCCTCTAGGTTTTCCAGCTGTCACTGTGTGTCCATAGATTTGAAACACTCCTCCCACATAGTGAGTCCTAACTCCCAGAGAAGGTTCTGCCCACCACCTCCTTCTTGCTTGTTGAAGTTTCTCTCTTTGCTCTCCAAATGGGCTTCAACTCTCACTTCAGAATCTTCCTGGGTCCAAGGGACCCATTTGCCTCCTCTCTTCCACATGTTGCTATACTCCAGGGCATGGAAAGCATATTTCAGAGAGGCTCTCTCTCTGCTGCTTACTACTCTGCTATCTTCCATGAAGTTCTCCCAGACTTATATTCTTAAAGGTTTAAGAAGGACAAAAACTAAGCCCTTCTATTATTTCAAATTGTCAACTATTCATCAGGAAAAATAAAAAAAGAGAACTCCTCTGCCTTCTTAGATCATTTACAAGAAGGAATTGAGAAAACATACATCCTTGTCTCCTGATTAGGTAGAAAGACAAATTGTTCTTAAAGACAAGTATATTACCCAGACATCTTCAGATATTAGGAGAAAGCTACAAAAGATGGCTTTTGCTCCAGATAGCTCATCTGATACTTTAGTGAGAATTGCCTCCTCAGTATTTTATAATTGAGTCCAAGAGAAAGTCAACAGGAGAAAACAGAGACCAAGAGAAAGTGGCTTTTTTAGCTGTGTTCTTAAAAGGAATAGGCCATAAATCTGATTCTTGGGGCTCCAAGAAGAGCTCAATGACTAAACTCACCTGCTACCACTGTAGCAGGCCAGCTTAGGAGAGACTGTGATAAAAAAAATCATCACAAGACCCTTAAGCCATGTCATGATTGCAAACTCCCTGAGTCAGAAATTAGGGAAACAACAGTTTTCACAATAGCGTCGAAAAAATAAATACCTAGGAATCAATCTAACAAAGGAAGTAAAAGACCCCTACATTGAAAACTACAGTACTCTGAAAAAGGAGATCCCAGAGGATATCAGAGGGCAAAGATACACCTTACTCTTGTGTAGGAAGAACCAATATAGTGAAAATGGCCATATTTCCAAAATTGTTATACAGATTTAATGCAATCTCAATCAAAATACCAATAGCATAACTCACAGAATTAGAGAAAACAATCCAAAAATTCATTTGGAACCAGAAGAGACCTAGAACAGCAAAAGCAATTCTGGGCAACACAGGCAAGGCAGGAGACATCACAATCCCTGACTTAAAGTTATACTACAAAGCTACTGGGATTTTTTAAAAAAGGCATGTTACTGGCCAAAAAAACAACCCCAAAATCAGAAAAAAAGCCAGACCCAAGGATCAATGGAACAAAAATAACTCCAAACACACTCTGTGACCTAATGTTTGACAAAGAAGCCAACACTTTCACTGGAAGAAAGATGGTCTCTTTAACAAATGAAGCTGGAAAAACTAGCTTTCCACATGTCTAAGATTAAGACTAGACTCATATCTTTCATCATGCACTAAACTAAAATCTATTTTTTTTTTTTTTTTTTTTCCTCTGGTACTGGGAACTGAACTCACGACCTTGCGCATGCCAGGCAGGCGCTTTTGCCACTGAGCTAAATCCCCAGCCCCCTAAACTAAAATCTAAATGGATCAAAGATCTAAATATTAAAACAGAAACATTAAATCTGTGGAAGATAGAACAGGTAGAATTCTTGAGGATGTCTGTATAGGCTAAGACTTCATGAACAAAACCCAAATCACACAGGACATAGCACAAAGAATCAACAACTGAGATCTCATGTTATTATAAAGCTTTTTCATAGCAAGAGAAACTACCAACAGAGTGAAGAGACTTTGGTTACTTAAGAAGTGCAAATTAAAACTGATAGGGTAAGAGAAACTCCATTTTCTTTTTGTAACTCCATTTTAAGAGAAGCCACTCAAAGTTCACTTAAACTGTACTTAAACTTCCTCCCTTTTGTTAGTCATAAACAATAGCAGAGTTACCAAATGGGAATAGAACAAACAGGACAAATTGAGAAGCAGGTTAAATGTTAAACCACAATGGTCATCTGGAATCTGGCTGACTGACAGCTCCTGGAAAAGTTGAACCTTGTGGTAATTGTGTGACATTCTTGTAAAATTCCCAAATATGAGAAATATAGAAACCTAAAAATGTACTTAAATGGTGAGACCCAGATCAGGGTGGACATCTTTTCTGGCTTCTGGTCAGAGGCTGTCCATCAGCTGGTTCTCCAGTAAAGTTTGGTTTGTTTCTGCCTTTTCAGTCTCTTGTGAGTGCCTGTCTCATTGGACTCGCTTGCCACTTGTCGTATCATCTGGAGGCCTTGAGTATGAGACTGGGCCTCATGAGAAAAGACTCTCATTTGAGGAGGCCCTGTGCCTCCTGGCTTCACCAGCCACTTTTCAGGTGGCAGGGTGCCCTGGCTGATTTCAGCTGGCCACCTGGGGACAGCTGAGTGCCAGGATGCCAAGGCTGTGAAAGCAGAACAACTAAGCCCTGCTCTCCAACCTAGGTAAGATTTAAAATTGGAATCTATTTTCTTTGATTTCTTTTTTTCCAGACTGTCTGATAGGCCCGGGCTCCAGATGTGGCAGCCATCTGGTCTCAGCATAGCTGGGAATTTGAGTAGAATTTCTGCTGTTGCATTTGTCCAGAGATTATCTCTGGGTTTGTTTGGAATTAGTTTTTAGTGTGTTTCAGATTTGGTCAGTTCTGGAGTCTAAACCTTTTCAAATTGATGGTTGGGGGCGGTTCATAATTCACGGGATTGTTTTGCTTTGTTTGTCTGCTCTGTGTTTTTCTCCCAAATGCACCTGCGATTTCAGGTCGCTGCAGCCTTGGGCTCTTGTTTGGCTCGTTGGCTGAGTAGGGGAGGAAAGACCTGCTGAGGTAAACTGTTCTCTCTTTGTTCTAAGCTGAGCTATCATGGGTTTGGCAGTGAGCCCACCATTCTGGTTTATCCATGATTAAGAATTTTGACAAATTTAAAGGTTGTGTGTGTTTGTGGATTCCTGGGCTGAGTTCTGGTAATTAAGGAAAGGTCCCCTAAGCAGAAACCCCTGTTTTGCCCTGGCACCTGAGGAAGATGATCCTCCTTTATGTCCCCCAACTCAGCTGCAGCCCTCTCCCAATCTTCCTGCCAAGCTGCTGCACATCCCCCTTTGCTTGCCTCAGTGGGGGATTCCTCCTCAGGGCCACAGCGGAGCAAGAGGGCCCTGACGCAGCACTGACCCTGTGGCTTTCCATTCTCACTGCTGCAGGCAGCCTTCCCCCAAGCATATAACAGATCCAGACGAGGAAGTCTTCTCTTTAGGTCTGGTCCCAGTCTTGCCTCTCTGGCAGGCTGCTCTAATGGCACCAGGAGGAAACCTTCATTCTACAACTGAAAAACTCAAAATCCCCCTTTTCAGAGTAGATTTGGGCTTTAATTACTTTACTGGAATTGGTGTTTAAGACTCACCTCCTCACCTGCAATGATTGTCAACAGATAATGTTAAATTTGCTTTCTTCTGAGGGGAAGGAAAGGATTTTAGAGGTGGCTGAGAAACAAATGAGATTAGATATGGGGAAAACTATACAGGACGAGGAAACCCCAACCGGGATTGCAACACTGAGGAGGGACTAAATGCTTTGAAAAAATCGTAAGGCATTGAGGAAAGGGCTTCTTTCTGTGGATCATCCCCCCACTGACCTACATAAGGTAGCAGAAGGGTTGGCCTCTGATATCCACCACAAGCTGCAGGGATAAACTTGTGCCAGCTGGTAGAGATTGCCCCAAAATTGTTTCATAATAGAGAGGATGCAGAATGGAGATTTAAGCAGGAAAAAAGAAAGATAGTGTTGGCAGCTTACAAGAAGAAGGCCCAGTCAAGAGCTAGGAAAAGAGACAAACAGGGAGGAGGTTGTTGCACTCCTCTAGATCCAGACCAGTGTGCCTATCACAAGGAAAAAGGAATTACAAACAGGAATGTCAAAAGCTGCTAGAAAAGGAGAAAAGAAAGAAAAGGAAAGTGTTTGTGATGGTATCAGAAGAAGTTTCAGATTGATAGGATCATGGGTCCCTGTCTCTCGGCCCCAGGAAATCCATGCTAACCACCAATGTAGGGGAAAAAAACCTGTTAGATTTTCAATAGACATGGGCATGTATGTATCAGAAGTTACACACACAATAGCTCCACTCCTAGGTCAAAAGAAATTATTATGATTCAGCCAGGCATGGTGGCACACATGTGTAATCCCAGCACTCGGGAGGCTGAGGCAAGAGGATCATTGCGAGTTTGAGGCCAGCCTGGACTACAAAGTGAGCTCAAGGCCAGCCTGAACTGCATAGCAAGACCCTGTCTCAAAAAGACAAAAAAAAAAAAAAAACTATTATGATTTAATTTGGCCAAAATATATTTGAGTGCACTCTGATTTTATAAGAAAATTGTCTGGTGTGGTTTTTGTTTGTTTTTCTCTCTGTCTGATCTGTAAACAGCTATTTTATTTGAGCTCAACAAATTTTTCTTCTTTTTGTATTTTTTTGTAATTTTGAAACAATTGTCTAAAATTTAATTTGGCTTATATATAAAAACATCACCTAAATTAAAGATATGCTTCCACCAAAAAATGCCAACTGGTCAAAATGATGTTAAAATTGGTTTTATAAATATAATGCTTATTGTTGTTTATGTATTATGATTTGAGAGTCTCCCATTGTTCAAATTTAATGTATTAAGTATTGAGATTGTATTTTCATGGATTATCAAAAATTTGTTAAAATAAATAAACAGAAAAATCTTAGGGTGGAGAGAGACTATTAGACAGGACTCTGATTGATAAATGAAAAGCAGATGACTGGAATAACATTAATCAGTTTTTGTTCATTAATGAGGAGCTCCAGTAATCTCCATAGTATTATGGGAGACACCCCAATAAATATCATTCAAAATATATTATTGTGTTATGTTTACATTAGTCATTGTCATAAAGTTGAGTTTTCAAAAACAAGACAATAAGTTCTTTTTATTAAAAGATTCTAGGGGCTGGGGATTTAGCTCAGCGGCAAAGTGCCTGCCTGGCAAGTGCAAGGTCATGAGTTTGGTTCCTGGTACCGGACAAAAACCAAAACCAAAAAAAAAAAAAAAAAAAAAAGATTCTATTGGTACAAAACTAAATGAAGAAACAAGATAACGACAATTTGTTATTGTTAATTACATGGTGTATTAAATGTATTCATGCCTTCCAAATGTACAGTAGTCTAAATTGTAAAACTGGGATTGTTTATAGCGATAGACATTTTCTTTCGGATTCTGACATCTGCCTTTCTCTTGTGCTCCAGAGAGATAAGAGGTTCATGTCGAGTCAATATAAGGTCATCAGTCAAATGATAATAATGGAAACCATCTGAGCTATTATTAGCACTAATTTAGGATGAAACATGATGACCTAGAAAGATAGGCATCTGGTCTTTTCAAAGTGCCAAAGCTCTCTTTCATGAGTAATTTTAGCGGTAATTCACTACTAACTTTGATTTTGCTTTATGTCTTTATTACTCTATAGTTGTTTAATTTTCATAATACCTTGGTTTTTTATTTATTTTGAAGTGTTTTTATATTACATGTTGGTATGCCTAAATATTATTCTTTATTTTTGTTTCATGTATATATGATTTTAAGACTTTTTAAACTGTCCTTTGTAATTTGACAAGTTCTATTTGTCAGTATATTAAAAATAATATTACTATTGTAATAGTTAATGTACATAGTGCTTATTAGGTGTATTGCTCTGTTTAGATAAGCTGCTTATAATGGCAGAATTCTGTAGAAACTCAAGCTATACAGATCCTGTTTGGCTATGAGTATTATACCAGTTTGGCATTGTGTCACTTCATTTATTACCAGAATTAATTTGTTTATTTTGTTAGCCATTGAGCTAATATCTTCATGCTTTTCTCTAGTTAAGTTGCACATGGACACATGATATTTGGGCTTTCTTAGTACCAAATTTTTGTGGTATGACATAAATAATTTTACTTACCTTCTCTGGGTCTTTTATATTTTTCTGTAGAAACGATGTATTAAATAAACTGACCTTTCCTTGTACTTCCCAGGGTATCTTTTCTTTCAGAAGCACTTACATATACAGACATATAATCGGACACTTTATTAGGACTTTAAAATTATAAAACATCCCTACTTAAAAGGAGCATATAATGTGTTTAGGAAAAATCAACCAGTTATGTAAACTGATGATAACAGCCCAGACAGTGTTACAGATTTCTCCAGTGACATAAGGACAACAAATTAGGTAAAAGCTTCTTATGTGTTAGGTAGGGATAACTGACTAAAAGACTATTCTATTCCAAGATGGAGATTTAAATGTGTTACAAAGATGTCATCATGACTGTTACATTATAATACTATGTTTAACTTTTCTCCATAAATCTATATACTTGCTCTCTGTTAACATTCTATAGGGATTCATCTACTAGAATATTCATGCTTGGTAAAAAGTAACATTTCTGTGGCTGTAGTTCATATTTCAAGGCTCTTCTGGATGTTCAGCAACTGAGGTTTTGAGACCAAAATTAAAAAGGTAGATGGGCTAAAGGGATAACTAATGTGGCCCCAGCCCTCCAAAACAAATGTCAGTCTCTTCGGAATACTCCTTTTATGGCAGCTCACAAGCCTGGGACAAACGCGGATCACCCAGTCCAGGACTTGTAAGTGATAAATGCCCTTGTTGTAACCCTGCACTGTACTATACCCAGCCCCTATACCTTGCCTAGTCAACTTCCACCTACTTGGACTTGGTATACTGTGTTGGATTTAAAAGATGTTTTTTCTGTATTCCTTTATCTGTTGCCTCCCAAGAGTTGTTCACTTTTGAATGAGAAGATCTAGAGGGGGAAATGAAAATGTACTCTACTAAGGGGACCTGCTGGCCCTCAACCCTGCCTCCCTTTTACTGACATCATTGGAGCCACCTGAGCACAACTATGTGAAAACATCGAGGCAATGTACTAAGCCAGACAGGATGTACAGGAAACACCCCTCCACAACGCCAACTTGACGCTGTTCTTGGATGACAGCAGCATGTTAATCAGTGGGGTTCAGAGGGCGGGAGAGGCAGTTGTTCCCCTTGAGTGGACTATCTGGTCCAAGGCTTTGCTTCCTGGAAAGTCAGCACAAAAGGCCAAACTGATGGCACTTACTTGGGCTTTAGAAATAGGAAAGGATAAAAGAGTAAATATTTCCACTGACTCCAGATGTGCCTTTGCTACTTTACATGTACATGGTGCCATCTTCCAGGAAAGGGGCCTCCTGACTACGGTGGGGGGAAAGGACATTAAGAACTCTCAAGAGATATTAAACTTGTTACAGGCTTGGGACTTGTACTTTTCAACAATGCTGAAACTATTAGGACTTTGTCAACTCTTAGAAATGGATTGAAATGCATTTTGCATAAAGGGATGTACATGAGTCTTTAGGGGGCCAGAGGTGGAATGTTATGGTTTGTGTCTAGATGTCC